GCCACGTTTGCACTTGGCCAAAGTCTTTGCCGATATGAGATTCTCGGTTTGAGGAATCAATGGCACATGAACCGTTATATAGTCAGCATTTGCCCAGATTTGTTCCAATGGCATCCATCGGATTCCGCTCTTTGCCGCATCCTTAAATATAATACATATATGTAGGTATGCGGTTATTAATTGGACATCGAGTGGTTGTTTCGTCAATCGCAGTGAGCGATCGGCGGAATATTCATTTTATTAGAGTAATGATTATTATTTATTGAATTGGTATTTGACTGCGTTTAATTATGCAAAGCATTCACGGCGACTAATTAATTACTCGGTTGTGTTCGGTTGGCCTGCTCACCTAGCCAGCGGGGTGGCGTAAATTGAGGCTAAAACAATGCGCACGGAAACGCGAGCACTGCCGCCAGCAACGTTATAAACGTTTGATAGCCTGGCCAATCCAGGTAATCCAGGTATGCAGATTTAGGCAAGCAAGAAAGCAAATGAATCAGGCCGATTTGTCATCAAATCAACTTATTCAGTCAACTCAGAGAAATGATCATCAGAAAACTTGTTCATTCGTTAACACCGCACTTATAAATCACAAGCATCTGCGGGAATGATGTGAATACCATACCTCGGCTGAGACAATGGGGTCGTATCCAATGGTTGTCATGCCGAACGATTGCATTCGGCTAGCAACCTCACTACCGATACGACCCAAACCTATGATGGCCAACGTCTTACCGTACACCTGAAAATGATAGTAATCGATAAGAAACTTGCAATCATGCATCAGTAACCCAATTGAAGAGCAATTCAGAAATTACAAAACCCAAGGAAATTATTACACAAATCTAAAAATAACTGCACTCGTTTACCTCTTCGCCCATATACTCTTTACGTGCCCATTTGCCAGCTTTCATCGATGCGGCTGCCTGTGGTACATTTCTTGCTAACGATAGAATACACGCACAAGTCAGCTCGGCTGCACTACGCGAATTCCCAGCTGTAATAGTAACAGTGGTTACAGCAAACTTGAAAATCACTTATTTTAGTGAATCATAGACATGAAATTTGTGTCGGAAGAGTTTTGTGGTGAATAGCTTAAAATTCACATCTGTTTTTCCTTATTTACTTACGGATATCGAATTTGTTTATGAGCAGTTATGAGAGTTTCAATTGATGAATGTGCAGCATGAAAGACAGCCTAGTAATTAGTAGGATTTCAATCTAGTGCTTTATTACTGATGGGACAAACATAATAATGTCT